GGACTGCATCCAGATGTGGAACCGAGGCTAGGAGCCAAGGCTATGGCTGCAGCTGGGGCTGCGAGTGAGTCGGCACCAGCAGCCAAGTCCAGGGCTGGGGCTGGGCCAGAGCAGAGTCGGGGACACAGAGGAACTCGGAGAATGTGTGTTCTGCCTGGGCAGTGCTCTGACTTGCAACCTCCTTCTCAGGGATGCTTAAGGGAGGCACTGCAGCCCAGAATTTGTGGAAGGTGAAGTGGTACGGCTACGTTCCCTCCTACACCAACCCACTGACCTCCAGAGATTGAGATTTAATCCAAAATGTTCAACCTCAAGGGGCCAAATTTTCAAAGGCAACAAGAACCCAGACCAGCAACTGGTCTCAGTGAGAGAAGAATCAGGCTACTGTCCTTTCAAATGAAATCCAGGCTTGATGAAGCCAAAACTAGGGATGTAAAACCCTGTTTAATTGGCTCACCAGGTAAACATAGGGTAACCTTAACCAGTAAACCTGGGGAGATGAGGGAGGGATAGGGGGCTGGCCAGAGGAGATGCAGGGGGGGACGGAGCTCAGGGGCAGCGCAGCTGGCCTGGGGAGATGGGGGGGGCAGGGGTGCCCGGGAGAGGGTCAGGGGCAGTGGAGCTGGTCGGGAAGTGGGACTGACCCAGGCACATGCAGATCCCGGGGCGCTGACAGTCCTGTGCACAGTCAGGAGAAGCGTGAGTGAGTCTGGCTGCGGCTCAGGAGTAGGGACAGGGCTTCTCCTCCTCCCCAAGGCGTCAGATGTAGCCAGGGCTCCCTGCGCCGATCACGCCCCGCCCACGCTCCGCCTCCCAGCCACTTCCCTCACCCCCGCCAGGCTTCCGTCTGGCGCCCAGCCAGAAATCCAGGAAATACGGGACTTTGCACATGTCTGGTATTTTCTGGATTTTTTTACTGGACAGAGGGCCCAAAAACTGGACTGTCTGGTAGAATACTGGACACCTGGCAACCCTAACCACAAGAGGTGGGACTTGGCCAATGCAGGGGCAGCCATTAGCCCTCCCACAGCTTTCCCTCCCCCTCACAAAAATTCCTGCGTGTGGGCCTGGGAACGCTTTCCCTCCCCCTCACAAAAATTCCTGCGTGTAGGCCTGGGAACAGAGAAGAGAAGAGAAGAGAGGAGGCCCACAGGATTATGATGCCGGGGTTGGGGTGCTCACCACCACTCAGGATCAGGCTTTAAATTTGCAAGTGAAGAGCAAGCTGCTTTGCTGTGGCTAAACAAAATCTTAAGTGCGGCTCTTCATATAACATGCCTCTGACATTTCAGTTCCTACACTAATGGAATACATCAGTCTGCTGGTAGTTTTGTTTTTTATACAGCCTTCTGTCTGCCAACTTAAAAATACAGCATGTATCTTCAAAACTCTCCTTGTCCCTAAACTTAATTATTTATTGATACATGATTATCACAGAGGTTTCAAGACACCATGCCAAATTCTGCTCTTGCTTACATATATGCAACCTCATTACATTCAAAGAGGTTGGTGAAAGCAGAATTGGGCTGACTTATTTTAATGCAACACAAGTGGACTAGAAGAATGCATAAAGCCACTGCTCTCTGGCGGAGAAGCAGCCTGCCCCAGCAGGAGCTCTGCTTGTTTTTGGCACAGTGAGCCTGATTCACCATTACTCTGTACTTCATACTGGCCGTGGCACACACATCATTGCAAAATGGATGTAAATAGCTGCCTGACCAGAACACTGGTGTTTTAGAATCATGGTGCACTGGCATTAGCAACAAGATGGGGTGAATCGGGCCCAATGCCTCTGGAATCCCTGGGACAGACTGGACCAGCAGAGACCCTTCCACGCTCTTGGAAGCGCAGAGGGGGGCATGATCCCACCCTCACCTTCTTTTGGGCAAGACTGTATGTTGAAAGAACTAAGCTCGAGAGGTTTTCGTGCACAAAGATCAGCCACTGCCCAGGGATCCATTGGCAGACGAAGCTCCTTGCAACATCCTCACAGAGGCTAGCCATGTATGCATCCTACTGAGCTAAATTCTAACATACTGTAGTCCATGGCTGGACAAAATTCAGCCCAGGGGCTGGATCCAGCCCACGAACCACCCTTATGGGATGCTAAGGCATGCAGCTGCCACAATTTAAAAAGCAGTCCCCATGTTTCTCTGCAGGGAGGGGTGAAGCGTCATATGATTCCTCCCTCCCACCCCCAACCCAATTCTCAGCTCCCATTGGCCAGAACAACTGGCTAATAAGAACTGACGTTGGCCAATCTCTCTGCTCCTATTGGCTGGCTTTTTCCATTTGTTTCTCAGCCAATAGAAGCTAAGAGATTGCCCTTGGGAGGCAGGGAAAACCAAGCCCCTTCCCCGACTCAGAGTCGAGAGGCAGGTGGAGGGAGCAGGCTGCATTTTCCATGCACTGGGGCTACAGCAGGCAGGGAGCCCAGCCTGCCTCATGGGTGCTGTAGGCCTACTGGCCGGGAGCTGCTTAGGTAAGCGCCTCCCAGCCAGAGCATGCCACTGGCATCCCAGCCCTTCTTGCATCCCAACTCCCTCCCCCAGGTCACCATCCAAGCCCTCTGCACCCCCTGCCCCAGGTCACAACCCCCTCCTACACCTCTCCCCCAGGCCAGAATCCTCTCCTGCACCCAAGCACCCTCTCAGACCCCACACCATCTCCTTCACCCTGGTCCCTTACTCTGTGTGCCCTTCTGCACCCAACCTCCATCGAAGACCCCGCACCCTCTCCACAGAAAAGTGTGGTCTTTTACCACTATCAAAATCTTGGCGTGGCCACCCACCCAAAATTATTGCCCACCCCTGCTGTAGTCTGAAATGCACCTTACAGCACTAAGATTCTGACCAAATGACAAGATGCAGTCACCTTCAGGATGTAGTCTGTTTTCATCACTAATATGAAACACTTGTGGTAACAGCACCTTTTATGGGTCAAATCCTCAGTTTGCATAAATCTGACATAAATCCACTAAAGCCAGTCCATTTGCATCAGCAGCAGGCCTGACCACATAGCATGCAGGCCAGCATGAATTGGACACTGTTACTGCCTTATTACCACACATATTAAGACCAGACCCTGTAAGGGGATTGACTTAAAGGCAAAGAACTACTTACATATTCAGGCCCTTGACCTGCATTAACATGATTCTGCAATATCATATACAGCATATCTTCAGAAGGTATAACAAGCATTAATCATACACAAAAAGCCAAGCTGGGAAAAATGCAAGGCTGCAATGGGTTTGCATGGCTATAAATGAGAACAAAATTTGGCCCTCTGTCCTCGGATACACCAGTGTGATGCTCACCGCCCTCAAGGGGAATTATACACCTATAGGAAGGCACAGCTTGGCTACAGATATTTATAAGTACAGATGTGGGAGAACAAGGGATAGGATGGAAGATAAGCCTTGTATTGGCTGGTGCAAGTGTTTCTCATCTAAACGCAGAACCCTTTGGCTGTTCTGCCACCCATCCCAATATCACACTCTAACCAGTGGAGCTAAACTCTGCTCTCATTTTCACCCATAGGGCCACGCACTTTGAATGGGGGAAGATTTTTTCCCTCTACATTTACAAAAAGTGTGCTTGCTAATCTCATCATGCTACTCGCTTTATTATAGAGAAAAGAAAAAAAGTAGTTATCTGCATCGTAACAGATAAATAAATAATATTGGGAAATCCAGAGCCCAATTCTCCACTGCCTTGTGCATTTATAACAGTGCAGAGTTAAAGCACGGAGCATGTAAAACACTTTCCAATCTCTTTGCACAGGTGCAGACGTCTACAGATGGTGTCACACAATGGAGAATCAGTCCCCCCAAAACTTTGGGGTTTTGGACATAAAATCCTGCCTCAATAGACTTTCATTCTGCAGCTTTTTGAATGCAAGAGATACACCTCGGCCACAGTCTGCCCTCAGCTGCAATAGTGTAAAACAGCGGTAATGCCAGTGAAGTCAACAGAACTACTTCAGATTGACACCAGCATAACTGAGATCAGACTTTGACTAATCCCTTAGCCCTGGCTATACTGGCCTTGGCCTTCTGTGAATTTTAGGTGGTGTTAAGCCCCAGAGAGATCAGACACTGCCTTATCCAAAACTGATAAGGGCATCTGAACAGAAGCATAGCAATGTAGGTTTTTTCTAATACTGTAGTAAGAGAGAGACCATGTACTAATGCTCCCAGGAAAGGATGTGGAAAGATGAAGACCCCTATGCCCTCTTTCCCCTCAGCACATCAGAAGGCAGAGGCTAGCCCAGTGTGAAGGTCTGAACATGCATAGGTGCAAAATATCATTACAATCCAATTAAATACGCTGCACATTCAACTTCCAACATGCACAATTAAAATAAAAATTAAATTCCGCCAATTGTTGGCCATGTATTTCTGGATAGAAATACAAAAAGAATCCTCTGATCAGCTGGACTACCAAGATGTCTCAACAAGGGCCATTTTCTTATGTGTTTGCTCACAAATTAACAGAAAACAGACCCCCACACCCCAAAGCCTGGTTCTGTTTTGATGATAATGATAGTGCTTTTGTGGCCCACATAAACTCCCTATAGTGACAGGGAACATAGCTTACTGAGGGGAAGGATTTGTCCATGAAGCTGTATCTGCACAAAACTATCTCCCAGAAACTGCCGATTCACAAAAGCGAATTTCAGCAGTTTCCATTATGCACAATATAGACAATCTTTCTAATTTAATCTCCTATGTGATCTTGTTCCTTTAAAGTCAAAACAGTGAACCTGATTCAGGTCTGACTTACACCAATGTAAATCAAAAAAGGTCACTGAATTTACAACTGTGCAATACAGGTATAAGCAAGATTAGAAGCAGAACCAATGATTTTTTAATGTAGAAGTGCTTTAGTACGTGAATGAGCATGGCTATTTAAAAACCTCTCATTAACCCCAAACAAGCAAAGGAACCACAAAAACAAAGTAGAAATATTACATAATAACCATCTGAAAAATTCTGTTACCTGTGAACTGGGAACAAGGGCCTTCCACCAATGTCCACCCTTCACAAGGTCAACTTCATTTAATGGCATTGACACTTTGCCAATGACACAATGGCGTGAAAATTTGTCAAAATCCACTATGGTTAAAAGTAGAGTTCTTCTTTGGGCTTCTAAAAATGGGATTTCAAAGGTGTATCTTTCCTCAAACACTGGGTTCTGGGTTTTGCGTTTTACCCCTGTCTGCTTGGAGTTCTTCTGATCTGGAAGGAGGCAGATCTTGACATAAGGGTTGGAATGAGCCAGATCTTGTCTTGAACCGTCATATGAAATTGGAGGAGGCAGATCTCTAGCCTCAATTACCCTCACTATTAGATAATTATGCAGCAGATCATACTGTGTACTAAAATGCAGCATGCCCAGTTGATATTTTGATAAGATTTCCTCATCTGTCAAGGAGTCCATGTCATCACTATTAGAGTCAAGAGAATACAGTCTTGGTTCGAATTTTCTAAAATAGTCATCTGGGGTATATGTTTTTCTCAGGATAGTTGGCTGAACTATTTCTTTTTTAGCTCCTATAATTCCAAACTCAATAGGTTTAATGTCAATTAGTGGAGAACTTGGCCGCCTTGATTCTAGACCTAGGCAAAAGAAACATACGAAGAGCTGTATCTGTAACTGAAAAGATCTCATTACAACCCTATGTTATTACAGTCTGTCATTTTGTTCTGTGTTTGGTCAAAACCCAACACAATGATGGTGGCTTCTAGGAGCTCTCTCAACACAAATGATAAAATAAATAACAATATCATAACTAGTTAATCTTTAAGTGCAAACATCAAATAGATTTTGTCCCCTGCCCCTGTCTTACTCTGTGATTCTGTCACATTAATCCTTTAGCAAAAATACAAGTTTGATCCCTTTCACAGTCTCTTTGTAGAAGGGTTTAGAATTTTAGGCTTTGTCTACACTTAACAGTTTAAAATGCTGTTGTGGCAGTGCTTTAAACTGAAAGTGTGGCCACAGCACAAGTGCTGGGAGAAAGCTCTCCCAGTGCTCTACATAAACCACCTGGACAAGGGGAGTAGCTACCAGCACTGGGAGCATAGCCTGTTTCATACTGGCACTTTACAGCACTGTAACTTACTTCACTTTTGACGGGGGTGGGGGGAAGGGAAGAGGAGGGGTGATTCACACTTCTGACTTAGAAAGTTACAGTCCTGTAAAGTGCCAGTGTAGACTTGGCCTTTATCAACATGCTTTAGGCTTGACTCACATCTCTCTCTAAAAGCAAGCACTAACTTTGGTCTACCTGGGAAATTACATTCCTATAATATGGCTGACAGCCTTACTTGAAATCCGCCTTGTGAGGCTGTAAGTGGACCGTGATGTATCTGAAGATGATCGCCTTCTGTCAGGAGAAGAGTCCTGAGGAGTTGGCGGTGGCTCACTGGTTGTGTTATCAGAGTCTCCATCTTTATCTTCATTCTGATTGCTTATCCTGTTAAAATGACAGACCTCTGGCTGTATGAATCCAATAAGTATACAGTACACATAACAAGCAGGATACAAAGCCCTTTTCCCTGATACGTTAGATTGAACCTGGGCTGCTGGAGTTCATCTTCAAATCTAGTTGGAAACAGAAGAGTGCTGAGTTGTGTGGCTTCAAAGCCCTACAAAGCATGGATTCTCTATCCTTTATTGTGTCTTTCAGACTTCTTAAAATGTAACAAAACTTACTAGCAACATCAAGGATGTACATATGTATATAGATATGTTCATGTTTCACAAACATGCATGATACAGACTTTGGGGCATTATTGGTATGTGTTCACCTATGTAGTGAAAATATTTAAGCCATTACTAACTGATGTATATTTAGGGTACAGTGCAAAAACTTGCGGCGCATCCACACTACAAGCCCATTCTTGTGCAAGAAAAAGTACAGTTAATCGTAAGAATACAGGGCTTTTTGCGCAAGAGTTATTCCTTTTTCTACAAGGAATAAGCCTTTTTGCACAAGAGCTCTTGTTCAAAAAGGCATGTGTGGATGAGCAACAGGGGTTTCTTGCGCAAGAAACCCTGATGGCTAAAATGGCCATCAGAGCTTTCTTGCGCAAGAGAGCATCCACACTGCCATGGATGCTCTTGCACAAAAGCACATCTCTTGCGGAAAAGCACATGACAGTGTGGACGCACTATTGCACAAGAACTTTTTGCGCAAGGACTCTTGCACAAAAAGTTCTTGCACAACAAGCCTGCAGTATAGACGTAGCCCCAGCCTCTCACAAACTGCAGCAATTCTCATTAAACAGAACAAATCAGAATCTCTTAAGTTCCACTCGAAGAGCAAGAACAAACAAGAACAAAAATATATAGTTCAAAGATTTTGATGTCAATTATACTGGTGACAGTCTTTGATAAATCCAATGAAGTCAATAGTAGAACGACATTATACTGACACAACTAAGACTAGAATTTCACTTTTTTAACAGTATTCCACTCGTAGTGTACCACGATAAAATACATATTTCTGGTTAGGACACAAGACAAAAGAACGCTCAGGAAAATAGGAAATTGGGTACAGACAAAGTTAAGTAGAACATAAGCAAATAATATGGGAGCACTGCTTGAATTTTGTTCTTCATTCCTTCTTTCTATATTTCTACTTATGTTGGGTATAAGATAAATATGCTGAATCACCTGCCTCACAATCCATTTATGGAACTAGACTGGTAGAAATATTCTGTAGCAAGTAGCAAACTAAAAAAATTGAAAACCAAACGTAGGAATGGGCAGAAAATGGAAGTTCAGATTTGAAACTTCCTCTTCTCCAAGTTTCGGGGAAGAAGTGCAGATCGGGATCGTGTGGTGCTTGGTGAGCTGAACCCACTTGAGTGTTACAGCCCATTAATATTTAACAGATTTTAATTTCCATTCAAAAATCATGGACACACAATACCTAGCTTTCATATGCAGGTTGCTCAATTCCTTCAACTAGAGCAATCAAAACATCGGAGCATAAATGTATGCTTTTCGTGCCAAGATGCAGATCTGAACATACTTATTAGGTGGATGGAGTGCCAACAGCTCACCAGAGGCTGACCCTGGTGAACGGCATCCAGCCCAGGGACCGGTTATTGCACACCCCGGCCTAGACAGTCCTGCCATGAAGGCAGGGGACTGGACTTGGCGACCTCTTGAGGTTCCTACCAGTTCTAGTATCTTATGATTCTATTATTGTGATTCACACACCTGAAAATTAAGCCTTCAGAATGGGGGCAAAGTAGGGGGGAAAAACTCAGAAAAAATATCATTAAAGATATTCTACACATGCTAAATATAAAAGTGAGTTAACTAAGTAACAAGCAGGTGACTTTTTGCAGGGAAACTGCTACTGAACCACGGTAATTTTTCCTCAAATAAACTCATCTGTTTGGAAAAGCTCTGTTTGTATTTAATCAAAACTTTTAGTAAGGAGACCTGAGTTCTAATTTCAATTTAACCTTGCAGCACACACAGTACTTAACTAGTTTTAAGGTAGGAGATTTCATACTATGCAGAGCTGAAAAGCACCCCAATTCCCTGCTAATTTTTTGCTAGAGCTAGGAAACAAACAATTGTGATGAAATAACAATAAGGATCTACCCATGTGCAAGTCAATACAATCAGATTTGCTCCAGAAAATTAAAAATACTTCTTTTAACACTGACGCTGTTGGGTGCTGTAAAAATTCAGGAAGTGCAAAAAGTCAACATCTACTGTAGGAAATGACTTAATTTCATGGCAGCTGGGCCCTATCCTGTTTCCCTAGCAACCCAGAAACTCCTCCTGATGACCATAGGAATGCTGGGGATGCAAAAAACAGAGGAGCGATGAGGACGTTAACGAGACTGCTCCCATACATCTCCAGACCATGAGAAGAACTGAAGAGGAAAAAATCTCACCCCATATGACAGCAATGGCCATGTAAGGCAGACAAAGAACAGAGGATTGGGAGCTCTTAGTTGTGATCCTTTAGGTATTTTTAGATAATTTTTGCGGGGAGGAGGGAGAGAAAGGGCAACACTACAGATGTACTTGTTCCCCAGACACAATACACATATCTAACAGAAGAATGTGGATCATTTTAAATCCAGGTGCCTGCCAGGTGTTACCCTGCTGTCCAGCACTACAGTAGGGGAACATTTACCATGCTAAATCAATTAACATAAGCAGACCCTGAGCAGTTCTGAGATACATACCAACATTAAAATAGCTCTTTTGTTGCCCAATTCTGCAACTCTTACACATGTCAAGTGGCACTTACCTATCTGATGAGTGTAGTACTGCAGACTCCAAACACTTAGAAACCTTCTCACCTCCCTGCACCTCAAGAAATAACAAGACCAGGCAAACGCCATTTGTCTCTACTAATTTCTGAGGTACCATTCTGTCCCTCTCCTTTCTCCTCTCAATCACTCTCCTGTCTTCTCTTCCATCTCTCCAGCCCTCCTCCTCTACCCTCCTTCTCCCCCTATACAAATATTCTCTCCCTTCCCCTTCAATCTACACCAGCTCACATTCTCCCATCATATCCCCCATATTAGCATTCCCCCAAATCTCCTGTGCCCGTTTTCCTTTACAATCTCTCTCTCTCATACACAACATCCCTCTCTCTCTATCCCATCACATTCCTTGGCTTTCTCAGCTGCTACCACTATGCATTCCCCTATGCCCTCAGTGCCTCCTGTCTGAGATACATACAGAAAAGAGAAGCTGCCATTTTAGCTGAGGGCATCTTGGATTCAATCATATAAAAAGTAATGGGAAACAGCAGCCATTTTGAATTAGTTTGCTGCCCAGCTTCTAGAGGCAAGAATCTTTAAAAAAAACACACACTAAAATAACATTTGTGAAAATATCATGAGTGCTCATGACTTTCATACTCTCTAGAGGGCTGCTAGCCTGACTATATGCTACACAGCACAAGTAAGGATAGCAGAATAAGATCATTTAATTGTATTTCATATAACCTTCTTCACTATTATTGAGCGCAAAAATTAACCAAGAGGGTTGCTAAAGGCAAAGGATCTGGAGCAGATCCATGGAACAGGTGGGAGGCAGTGCTTCTGTAGCCACATCAGCCACATGTTGCAAAGTTCAGCTCTCCAAAGGAACTGAAGAATTGCCCCACAGGTCGGTTAGCATGGGGCCAGAGAAGGAGCAGAGGCCCAAAGGTGGTGATCTACCCTAGCCAGAATGGAGGATCAGAGATCATTGGATTTACCACGTTAGGGCCCATAGGTGGGAATCTAGGGGTGGGGAAATGCTGCAGTACTCCTGGGCTCCTGGCCCCACATGTTGCCATCCCCACATGCTGGGATCCTGGCTGCCGCCCTGTCAACAACGCTACCACCCTGCATACTGGCTGCCTCTGCTGCTGGCTCCGCCCACTGGGGCATCTGCTGCCATCCTCACGTTCCGGCTGCCACCCCCATGTGAGGGTGGGGGATAGAGCTAAGAGGGCTGGATTTCAGCACCCCCACCCTTGAAAATGTTCCCACTGCCAAGGCCTGCCACTCCACAGACTTTAGTGAAGGTTTCTTCTGCCTCACCCCTCCCTGGAGCCCCTACCAAACCTAGCCACTTGTCTCCAAATACTCAATCATTTCTGCAGCGTATCTTTCTAAGACCAATAAAAGCACTCTCGTCACTTGCACACGACGTTTCCTTATTTAGCATTGATTTTATTTCTAATTTCCATTAGCTGCAGATAAATGAGATTCTAGGCATAATTCTGACCCTTTAAAAACAGTTCCCTGTTTAATAACCACTTTAAAGCTGTATTGCTAGCCTCTCTGCACCTTCTTACTATACTAATTCAAAACAATAAACAAGCCACTGTAATCCAAACAGAAAAGGATGAATTTTATGTACCTTGTATACACAAACCTGATAGATCTGGCAGGGGAAAAAATGAACACAAGGACACTGGGGGTGAGGATGACACGGATCACATGTCTACCCATCTGTCCTCCGGCAACTCAGTGAAGTGCGGTGCATTAAGAAAGCAATTAAGGGAGCACCTCACCTGTTGTGGTTTCAGAAACGCATTGCACATTTAACCCTGGAGGGCCAACTACTCTGCTTCTCTGGGAGGCTTTTTAGCCTTGCAGATAAAGCACTAGATTGACACTAGGGTTCCTGCTCTGCTAGAGGCATGCTAGGTGACCTTGAGTCACTTTGCTGACCAGTGCCTCAGATTCCCCAGCTGTAAAATGGAGATAACAATACTGGTCTCCTTTGTAAACTGCTTTTTTGCCAAAAAGGGCCTGATTTTGCACAAAACCAGGCTGCCTGTCTACACCGGCGGGGAGTTCTTGCGCAAGAATACTGACGTTCTAATGTGTGAAATCAGTGCTTCTTGTGCAAGAACTATGATGCTTCCGCTCAGGAATAAGCCCTCTTGCACAAGTGTTCTTGCGCAAGAGGCCAGTGTAGACAGGCAACATGAATTTCTTGCGCAAGAAAGCCCGATGGCTAAAATGCCCATCGGAGCTTTCTTGCGCAAGAGAGCATCTACACAGGCACGGATGCTTTTGCGCAAAAACACATCTCTTGCACAAAAGCATATGCCAGCGTGGACGCTCTCTTGCGCAAATACTTTAACGCAAAAACTCTTGCATTAACAGTATTTGCGCAAAATCTTGCCAATGTAGCCCTTTAGTTTTGTTGTTGTTACTGTTGTTGTTTTAGGACCAGATTTTAAAAGAACTTAAGTGGCACAGGAATGTAAATCCCATTGGAAATTCTGCTTTCTAGGAGCTGTATTCTCTTAAGTCACCTTGGTGCTTTTGTAAAGTTCCCCTGTTTAACCTAGTAAATCAAAATAACATTAATAAGACCAAAAGTTTCAGAGGGCTAGCTATGTTAGTCTGTAACTGAAAAAAACTTAAAAAACAATAAATAGTCCAGCAGCAACTTAGAGACAAACAAAAAATGTAGATGGTATCATGAGCTTTCGTGGGCACAACTCACTTCTTCAGATGAATGGACGTAAGGGGTCCAGGTAGCAAAATAATAGCAGAGAAAGGGCATGGGAAGGGAAAGAAAAGGAAAAAAATGGGGGGAAAATTAGAGTGTTCATGCTAAATGAAGCTGATAGAGTGGGTTCTAAGTACTCTTAAGTATCCGGAGCTTGGCTTTTTATGTCATTATGTGGGATGTGGAATATAGCAGGTAATCCAGTTAAAGTCTTTGTTTACACCTCTATTGCAGGTACTTGTAAATGAAATTAAGTTCTGCAGCTTCCCTTTCAAGCTGTTTTTTTAAATTGGCTTGTAATAATATGGCAACTTTGAGATCCATTAATGAGTGCCCAGGCAAATTAAAATGTTCCCCCAACAGGTTTCTGTGTGTTACCTTTTTGAATATCTGATTTGTGTCCATTAATTCTTTGTCGTAGAGATTGTCCAGTTTGGCCAATATACATGCCAGAGAGGCATTGCTGGCACTTAATGGCATAGATCACATTGATGGATGTGCAATTATATGAGCTTTTGATATCATGGTTTATGTGGCTAGGTCCTGTGATGATGTTGCTAGTATAGATGTGTGGACAGAGTTGGCACTGAAGTTGATTGCAGGGGTGGGTTCCTGGATGAGTATGAGGGAGGTGTTATGTGGTTGCTGGAAAGAATATGTTTGAAGTTAGGGGGTTGTCTGTAGGCAAGGATTGGCCAGTCCCTCAAGGCCTGTGGGAGTGAGGGGTCATTTTCCAGGATAGGTTGTAGATTGTTGATAATGCGCGGGTGGGGATTATGTTGGGGGCTGTAGGTGATGAAAAGTGGTGTTCTGTTGTTTTCTTTGCTGGGCCTGTCTTGAAGAAGCTGATGTCTGGGTACTCAGAAGACCAGAATCAATTTCTCGGTAAGCCTCAAAAATAGTGTAGTAGATATCATTTAGTTTCACTGCGTGCTGTTTCTTTGCTATCTTTCTGCCTAGAATAATATTTTACAACCAAACTAAGTGCTCCTAAAAATACAGATTTATCCTGAAAATAACTAAAGTTAAGGGCTATTTCAGCCACTTTCCCTGGGGTTATGCATGGGTGCAGAGGTCCACCAACATGCAACAAATTACTGAATTAGGACCTGAATTAACCCTAACCCCAAATCCCTATTTGTCTGAACAGTTATCTGATGTATTGTTTATGGCTAAGGTAGATCATAAACTCCTCTGGTAGGAACCCTGTCTGTTATGTGCCCATAAATTACAGTGCATGATCTAAGTAATGTGATAATAATCTTCTTACTATATATTTTAGAAATGTGCATCTGTCTGTCCATTTGTGAGTCCATTTGTTCAAGAACTCTCTTAAACTCTAAAAGCAAGGACCGCCAAATTTGGTGTGCCGCCTTCTCTTATCATAACTTAAAGCAAGGTCAGGATATGATTGTGCCAGGACAGTGGGATGTACCTGGAATTTGAATGTTTCTTAACAAAATGGAAAAGGAGGCGTCTGGGAGTAGGGACAGTTATACTCTGGAATGACCACAAGATGATAGCAAGGGACCAGAGATGGGGACCAGGACAATTACAATTTCATTGGGCCAGCAGAGGGAAGGGGTGGAGAAAGGGAGAGCTATCTACTATATATTTCAGAGACTGTGTCTATTTGTGTGTCTGTTTGTCTGTGTCTGTCTGTCCCCCAGCTGGGGGACATGCACCCTTCACCCCATCTGTGCAGCTGCAGCAGCCATAGGCAAGCGCTTCTCACCTGGCCTCGAGTTGCTGATGTGAGAGAGGGTGGGATGTCCTCACTCTCCAGGGCAGCCTGCATCTTGAACCCCTCATCCCCAGCTCTACCCCAGAACAATGATTTAAATGAAGAAAAACAAAACTTATTTCAATTAAGGACCCGAGCAACGCCAGGTAAATCTACTAGTAATAATAATAAATACAGACCCTCATAAATAGTCATTTGACTAGCAGTATGGAAAATTATGGCAATCAAAGGAGCAAAGTACTCAAAATAACACAGTCCAATTTAGAGATTTCATTAAACTTAAAATGAAAGGTATTGTCTTCTCAGCATGGAATACAAATTGAGGCCAATTACCAACTTGCTTTGTTGGCTTGTAAGATAGTTTCTGACTTAAGCTTCGGGGCAGCAGTATTTCAAGGACTGTAGCTACCTGAATTAACAGGATATGTTTAGTTTTACTGCAGTTATATGCATTGTTTATGTATTGTATACACCATTTCCACCCTTAACACCAACCCTTCCCACCAGTTTGTTATTATATGTACGCAATTAGCCAGGTGTGTAATATTTCTGGAGTCTTATAGCCCTGTGTTTATGCCTTCATCACAGACAAAATAACATTACCTTTGTCTTACTGCTATAAACTGGAGATAACATTTGCTTAAAATGCACATCTAAACTTACAGCCATGCTGGTGTCTGTGCAGGAAAAGGTCCCAGGATTTCAACTTCATCTTCGCTCGACTGACAGCAGCTACAGTCAAAACACTTCTGACAACAATTTCTACAAGTCCATCTGCACAGCAAGAGATCCGATATTCTAGAGAGCAGACCCTAAGGCCATTGGAAACCAAAGAATAAGATTACAACCAGTAGATCATTGGTAAGAAATAATGCTCAGCTGTATTTATGTTTGTGCCTCTACAGCAGAACATTTAGAACTATATTTATTCCATTTATATAAACAGTCAAGTACCGTGCAGTTACTGGCACATTCTCACTAAAGCCATAACTAAGCAGAGAAATAAACATTCACTGCAGGTATTTTGTTTTATAGAATTATATGTACGTGGGCGAGACAGTGATATACAAAACACTGTGGCATAACAATATGCTAGAGCAGAAACATGCCCATTATTTCACCCACATTAACAAACTAATATATCAGCAAATTTGTGGCAAAGAGAATTGAAAACTGAAGATTAGTGACACCCCCACTTTTGATTTCACAAGTTGTTTCATAGTTGAAAAAAACCTAACACAACAATATCAATATATTTTAATACTGTATGTATTGTAATCATGTGATATTCATATGCTCTATATATGCAGTATTACAGCATCAAATTTGTCAGCAAAATGTATCATCTTCGGTACAAAATCTTTCCTGATTTTTACTATGATGATTAATTTATTGAAAAGTTGTTGTTGGTTTTTTTAAGTTATTTGCCCTGGATCAGTATAGAAGTGCCCTGCTGTATGGTGGCAGTAATAACTCCCTTACAGTGCTACTACATTTATTACATGTACAGTACATATATGTACATAGGCTAAGTGTATACATTTATAGCAAAGACGTGCACCCCAAGAAAAGAACTGTGTTTGAAAAAGCCACAGTTCTCTTCCATCTCCCCCTTGCCCCAAGAGCGTAAAATCTTGCTATTGGTTTATACCAATTACAAATAACTATCCCCTTCAGCCCCACACCCTTGCTGGTGCACTGACGAAAGAAGAAGAGGGGCAGGAAGCCAGAGGTCCACTCATTCCCCATCTACTCCTACTCCCCTTCCCCAGATACAGGGGAGGGGCAGAAGAAGTGGTTTGTAAGAAGGCTTGCAGAGCAGTGTGTAGGACCCAGACAGACAGATTGTAGCTATCTGTTCTCAGTGGGAAGTGAAAACCCAGCATGCGTTATAAAACCTTCACAAAGCAAAAATTTGAGAATAGCCTATAACTGAACCAAAAAATCTTGAATCTTGCCGTGTTGAGCACTATCTGTATAGGGAAGCAGTCAGCACTCACTGGGAGGCGTTCCCTAGAAGTGCTGGGCTGCAGAGGACAGTAGCAGATTGATAGTAAAGCAGACTTTTATTCCACACCTGTATGGAATTCAATTTTTTCTTCTATTAAAAAAAATCACCGTTTTTCTACACATGAACCCAGGAAATCAGAAAAGCCACAAAGCAAGGAATCTGGCCTACCATCTGTACCTACGGCATTAGAAAAGATTCTGAAAATGCAGGACAACCTCCTCTGTATGATGAGACGAGACAGAATAGGGAAGAATCATCAGATTAACTCACCTCATTTATCGGTTCCAACTGTCCTTTTAGAGATTCATGATGAAGCAAAGGGGAATAAAATGAAAAAGACAAAACCAGTTTAGCAATGCTCAAATAACTCTAAATCAGCAGGCAGACAACATGCTTTAATTTCTCAGGGCATACTATTTCCCAAGCTTGTCCTATTTAATTTTAGGAAAGGGGGAAGAAGCTCTTGAGGGAGAGACAATATCTTCTTCTCTTTTTACCCTCCCACTCCTCTTTTATCCTCTTTTACCCTCCTGCTGCTCACAGCAAGAGAAATGCATGTCTAGCATCTGCCGTCAGCCCCCTCCCAGGTAGGGTTGCCAGGTGTCCGGTATTCTACTGGACAGTCCAGTATTTGCGCTCTTTGTCCGGTAAAAAAAAATCAGAGAATACCGGACATTGCAATCCTCTGATTTTTCCAGCTGCGCACCAGACGGAAGCCTGGCGTGGGTGGGGGGAGCGGCTGGAAGGCGGGGCCACGATTGGCGCTAGGAGCCTGTGATTGCGCAGAAGCCTTGTGGGAGTGGCTGGGGCTCCCAGCCACTCCCCCTGCCCCGGCTAGGCTTCTGAAGTGCCCAGAGTGCCAATCGCGGCCTCGCCTCCCAGCTAGGGACTCCCAGGCTGGGAGGTGGGGCCACCATCGGCGCTGGGAGCCTGTGATTGTGCAGAAGCCTGGCAGGGATGGGGGAGAAGTGGCTGGAAGTCCGCCCCCACCAGGCTTCTGTACAATCACAGGCTCCCAGCACCGATCATGGTTCCGCCTCCCAGCCAAGCTGGGAGGTGGGGTTGCGATCACCACTTATCCCGCGTTCCTTTTTTTTGCTTGACCATCTGGTATTTTTTGGGAGACCATCTGGCAACCCTACTCCCAGGAGACCCATCATGTGCAATCACGCTCTTCATGTGTCCTTAGGAAATTACTTGATTTCTACAACTATTTTACTGCATCAGTTGCAAACCCAACCAGGTTGTAGATACACTACCAGCTGCCAGTAATAGAGACCTTGGTCTCAGTTCAGTCTTAGCAAAAACAGTTGCAATTCCAGATATTAAGACCCACACTTTTAGAAGGAGACACTAATTTTGAATACTCCCCTTTCTGTGTGCCCAACGCAAGTCACTCTGTGCCTGAATTTTCAGAGGCGCTGAGCGCCTTAAATTCCCATTGTCTTCCATTGGGGTGATGGGTCCTCGGTGTTGGAAAAATCAGTCCCCAGAGAACTGTTTAACAGCTGAGTCACCCAAGATTACTGACCACTTTTTGAATATGTGAGCTGAAGTGACTTGCCCAAGGTCACACAAGAAAAGTGTGGCAGAGCCAAGAAAATCTCCCACGTTCCAACCTACTGCTTTAATCGCACCATCTTCAACACTTACTCACTTTATCAACAATATACAATCTATCCTGGAACATGACCCATCACTCTCACAGGCCTTGAGGGAAAGGCCAATCCTTGCCTAAAGGCAACCCTATAACCTCAAACAAATTCTTTCCAGTAACCATGCAGCACACCTCCATCATAATCATCCAAGAACCCACCCCTGCAATCAGCCCCAGTGCCAACTCTGCCCACACATTTACATAAGCGATTTCATCACAGGACCTAACCACATCAGCCACTACATCAGGGACTCATTTAACTGCACATCCACTAACAGGATCTATGCTATCAAGTGCCAGCAATGCCCCTCTGCCATGTATACTGGCCAAACTGGACAGTCTCTATAATGAAAGATTAATGGACACAAATCAGATATTCAAAAAGACAACACACAAACACCTGTTGGAGAACACTTTTACCAGTCCGGGCACTCATTAATGGATCCCATGTTGTTTCAAGCCAATTCCACAAGCCAAATACACAGGGAAGCCTTAGAACTTAACTTCATTTACAAGTTTGGTACCCATCACAAAGGCATGAATAAAGATATTACCTGGATAGCACACTACCTTCCACATCCTAATGACTTAATCAACCAACAATGGGTACTTAAGAACAATTTGCACCTTCTTTATCAGCTTCTTGTAACATGAACATTCTAATTCATTATTTTTCCCTTCCTTCCCGCCTCCCATCCCCTATTTGTTTTGGAACTGGACTTTTAATACTCCATTCATCTGAAGAAGTGGGTTGTACCCATGAAAACTCTACATGTTTTATTAGTCTTTAAGGTGCTGCTAGACTCCTCATTTTTTAATTTTTTTTTTCAGTTACAGACTCACTTTGTGTTATTCTTGCTGCAACTAGTTCCTTTACTTTCATGAACACTGAATTCACCAAAATTCATTAAAAGATCTTACTTAGAAAAGTTTGGATCTCTACTATAGTTGCTTTTCTATCTTCAGCCCTTCCTCATATACAGTAGTTTTCTGTCTCATGTGCCTTCTTTTAAAGATGGTTTCCTTAAGAGGCTTGTTCTCCCACCTCCTCCCTCACCAATAGAAAGTATGCTGCTTCTGTTGGCTATCTTCTCTTTGGAAAATATAAACACTAATACTATTCAAAAAGGAACAATGCAATTTAGCTCTGCAATAGCTTCCAAAGAAAACATTTTAACACAAATATCCATCTTCATGTTCTCACAAACTATTGCTTAGTGTAAATACTCCCATCTGTTTGAGGTAGCACAACACAGGAAAGTCCTGTACTGTAATATGGCTACACCCACAAACCATTAAAAACAGGGTTGTATCATCCCCCAGTTTACACTCTAAGGGTATGTCTACACTACAAAGTTAATTTGAACTAACAGACGTTAGTTCGAATTAACTTTGATAGGCGCTACACTAGCGCTCCGCTAGTTTGAACTTAGCGGAGCGCTTAGTTTGAACTAGGTAAACCTCATTCTACGAGGACTAAGCCTAGTTCGAACTTACTAGTTCAAATTAAGGGGTGTGTAGCCCCTTAATTCGAACTAGTGGGAGGCTAGCCCTCCCCAGCTTTCCCTGGTGGCCACTCTGGCCAACACCAGGGAAACTCTACTGCCCCCCTCCCGGCCCCGGAGCCCTTAAAGGGGCACGGGCTGGCTATGATGCCCATGCCAGGTGCAAGCCTGCCAGCACCCAGCTAGTAGACCGTGCACCTGGCACAACTCAAGCCAGCCACCCGATGCCCCCCAGCCCTCCCCCTCTTCCCGGGATCAGGCTGGAGGCTCCCGGGAGCTTGCCCAGGACCGCAAGAGGTGGGCACCCGCCTGGTCTAGTGCAGACATCGTGGACCTCGTCCACGATCTCCACACTAGGCACAGGAAAGTGGCCAGCTAGGGCAGGAGAGCTGCCAGCCTGGCCACCCAGGAGCAGGTGTGCAGGAAAATCAAGGTGGTCCACTGAGACCCCCGACCCTGAGCCCTGAGCTTACAATGGCC